GGAACATCATTTTTCTTTTCACCTACAAGTTCTAAAAGTTCAAGAGGGTAGTGTCGATTTTCGCCTTTTGAAAAACTCTCAATTGCGCATTGGAGATAAGGATATTGAAGTCGTATTCTATGTCGAGCAAAAAAATGTGCGGCAACACTGACATTAAAATTTCGGTGAAGTCGTCCATAAGCGGGAATAGAAGTGGCACCATTTATTGTTAATCCACTTAAAGCAAAGGATTTTTTTAATCCATTTCTATCATTATATGTAGTTTGGACTTTACGGCAGAGGAGCTCTTTCATAATTTTGGCTCTATTCTCTGGGTGATTTAATCGGTCGCGAAGTGCCTTTACTTTACAATCCAAGATCCTGGCACATTCGTTGATTAAAAGAGTCATTATTGTTCAGAATGAGATATGGAGGATTTAAATCAGCCTTTTATACTCGCTCCGATATCTATTATACAAAATGCCAAACTTCAAATTTTAAAGAAATTTAAATTAGAGAAAAAATACTATAACTCTATAAATATACTGTATAATTTAAAATTATTTTTAAAATATTTTCATACAATAATTTTTCATATCAAAGGTCAATCTTATTTTTAAACATTTTTGTTTGGCATATTCTTATATTTGAATTTACAAAAACAAAAATGATTAATTGCGTTAGTTTATTGACATTCTCGATTTTTTCTAGTCTCGATTTCGTGGGCAGATAGTGGTTGTTTTCTCGTTTTGAATTAATGTTCCTCGACTTTTCAATTCTCTCGACACCCTTTCTATATTGGCACTCTCCAAGGACATAGTAAATCGCAGCCATATTGCGGCAAAGTTGATCTTATCTCTGCGGATAATGTTTCCTATATACACATTCATTTCATTTACTCTTTTCTTGAACTTTTATTTTTTATATTTCTAGTTAGTATTTTAAGATTTTTAAAATTTTTTTGAAAAAATGTGCTTTTCTAAATCTAATAATTCTTCAAAATCGTCTTCGAATTCTTCAAATCCATCAAATTCTTCAAATGTTGATTGGGATGCTATTAGCAATACTCTCAACAACATTTCTAGTGAGCTTGGTGAGGCTCGTCAGCATTTGGAAGCCATTCACCTTCAAGTCGCAAGCTTGACCGACCGAGTTTCACAAATTAATCGAGAAGTCCAAGCTTTGCGAGAATCGGTACTTTTAAAACTTCTATTCTTAAAAAATTTTTTCTATTCTTATATTCTTTAAATATTGGGGTTTGAAAACTTTTAAATAGGGGTTAAAAAACATAAGGGGAAAAGTGAAAACATTAGTCGTCGCCCCGATACATGAGGTAGAGCACCTGTAAATGGGACCGAGCAAACACTGTTTCGAATCCTGTCCGGTGGCTAAACTTTTGCTAAACTCTTACTTTTTCACAGGAACAACGAAGGGTAGCACGCAGACAAGCTACCCTTCAAAGTATGCTAAATTTCAGAAGGGCTTTGGCTGCTTTTGATCAAAATAGAGATCAATTGGTAGTGCGGAGGACCGGATGTAAGAGTTAAAATATTAAAAATAAATTTCAAATATTTTCAGCGGGACGTCGTTGCAAACCTTATGTCGTTAGACGCCCGCCCGGTCCTCCAGGACCACCTGGCGCTGACGGTTCTGCAGCAGCGGCCTGAAGAAGTTTTGTGAGGAATTGGAATTTTTGGGGAGTTGGTTGCGGCGAGTGGAGAGGGTTTTTTGAAAAGAAATTTTTGAGAAAGGGTTATTTTTGAATTTTTTTGAAAAATTTTTTGGGGATGATTGTTGTAGTTTTTGCCCCATACTGTTAAAATTTTTGTTAAAAAATAAAATTTGAAATTTGTTTTTAAATTTTTACAAAATTTTTTCGAACTCTTTTCTTCCTCTGTATTGTTTTCTCTAAGTTAATTTTTACGCTATTTGGTTTTCATTTAACACTTAACAAAAGAAGAAGAAAAGAAAGAGAGAGGTAAAAAAGATTCTCCTTCCTCTTCTTAAAGAGGGATGTGTGAACGAGTGTATGTGTGTTAGTTTTACTATAATGAGCTTTTAGGAGTTTTTTATTTGTGAAATAAATTAAGTTTTATTAAACTTAATTTTATATGAATTTTAGTTTATATGAATTTTAGTGTATTCGAATTTACCATATTTCCTTCGATTGAGTTTTAAAATATTTAAGATTATTTTAAATATTAAAAAATGGTAAAACTGGCGTCAAACCGGCTAAAGAAAAAGTCTTGCACCAAAATGGGCTGTTTTTTTAATTTATTTATTTTCGACTAATTTATACTAGAGGTCGGCAAAATCGTGTTTGCGGGATCCCGCGTGCGGGATTTTTTTCCAAAATTTTTGCGGGACAGGATTTTGCGGATAAATCCCGCAAAAATCCCGCATCCCGCAAAATCCCGCATTCTAAATTTGCGGGATCCCGCGCGGGATTGCGGGATTTTTTAAAATTTTGAAAAAAATTCGAAAAAGTACGCAGGACGGTAAAGTTTAGCCTGAAAAACAAGCTAACGATCCTTCTCAGTGAGATAAATGAAATATTACCACTTCCTAATGCAAAAACCTGACTTTTGAGGATTGACTTTTTACGATTGACCTTTGCTGATCCTGTGGTACGACACGTGAAGATCTTCTGATCCTCAAGTCAGATTCTCAAAAGTTGAGGATCTGACTAATAATATCCTCCACATGTAGGATATATGTAGAAGGATTACATATAAGTTAAGACATTTGGGGGCTAAAGGGATTTGAGAGATATTTAAGGATTTGGAAAGATTAAAAAGGATTGTTGAGGATTTGTAGGCGTAGGATGGATACCTGAGGATTTCGGGATCAAGGGAAATAAAGTTGGAGTGTGAAGGCCAAGGAGATATCGGTGGATTAAAAAGGATTCCGGTGGTTTGAGAGAATTAAAAATGGTGAATTTCGGTAGATTAAAATTGATATCGGTGGTTTAACAAGGATATCGTATCTAACAATTAGGGCAATTTAGTTTTGACGAAAAAGAAATGTTCAACGCGGCGCATGCGAAAATTTTGGAGGGTTATTTATCCAGATTTTTTCCTTCTTCGGCGCCGCAGGCAAAAATTTTGAGAATATAAGGAAGGCTGTGTAGCCAAAATTATCACTTTTCTAGCGCCGCAGGCGAAAATTTTTGGAATTTCTAGAGTTCAAGACAGAAAATACTCCATTTTACAAAAATCCCGCAAAATACAAAATATTTTGCGGGACCCCGCATGCGGGATTTTTTTTCAAAACTTTTGCGGGACAGGATTTGCAGGATAAATCCCGCAAAAATCCCGCATCCCGCAAAATCCCGCAAATCACAAAAAGTGCGGGATTGCGGACGCGGGATCCCGCAAAATCCCGCGCGGGATCCTGTCCCGCGCCGACCTCTAATTTATACATATATGTATTTTTTCTTTAATTCTTCCTAATCTCAAATTCAATAATTTTTAAATTCAATATATAAATTCAAGAGAGGACGACATTTCAACCCTTTCCTCTTCATTTCTTCCTTTTTTTTCATCGTAATCATTTGATAGGGAAGAGATTAATTTATTTTTATTTTGTATTGAATTAATTTAGGAAGAGGAATAAGTAGCTGAAATATTATTGTTGTTGTTTGAGTTGACAGTTATACCAATTTTTCTTAAAAATATTTTTTTAGATTTTTAAAAACAATTTTTGAATTTCCAAAAATTGATTTGTATCTATCTAACTAAAGTTATTTTTAGTAAGTACTCTTCTATAAGATTTCGGTTCGGAACCGAACAGAAGAGAATCGAAGAACTTTCCGGCTCGGTTTCGGATATCCGACGATTTCTATATCTTTTATGTGGGACTGGGCCGTTTTGGCGCGGGGCCGTTTTGGCGCGAGCTTATAAAATAGTGGGTTGTTTATCAAAAAAGTTTAATATCCCTCGTACCTTTATCTAAGTGCTCCAAAAATTTCAGAATTTTTGAGTAAGAATTTCAGAAATTATGGCCAGAAATGTTGATTTTCTGCAAAAGGCCTAATTTTTCGAAGTCTATCGACTATAACTTCAGCAATATTTGATGAAAAATTCTGAAATTACTGGAGGAGGTAGTCAAGGATGTTATAGAAATTTGATAAAATTTTCATGAACTTAGGTCTTGTCTAAGTGCCTGTTTTTAGTTCTCGCGCCAAAACGACCCGGCGCCAAAACGACCTCAACCCCTTTTATGTATCTTTTTAAACCTGGTTACACTAGAAAGGGTACAGCCCGAAATGTCGCGGGCCAAAATGTCGCGGCCGAAATGTCGCGACATTTTGGCCCGCGACATTTCGGGCGTGTCCCCACTAGAAAGGCCTTCACTTTTAATGTTTTACACAGTAATTTTTGCTAATTTTGGCTCACAATCGCTTAATCCAAAATCTCATCTTTACACCTTATTTACACCTTATATACGGAAGTTATTTTAAGATGACATTTCGTCCCTTTCTCTATTTTTTAATTAAAAAATAATAAAAACTCACTTGTTTCATTCTCCTGTTCTGAAACCAAGTCTTCACCTATATAAAATTTCAATCAGAAAATTTTTAACTATTTACCAGTGTTTCACTCAAATTGAGTGACTCGGCAAGGCTATACGTTCTGGAGTAGATAAATACCCTTTGGCCATTAAAGCGTTGTTCTGGCCCTTTTAAATTTAAAAATTTTTTAATTTTTACCTTGTAGTTGGCGATTAGAAAATACTGTGCGCGCCTTTCTCCGGCTATACGACTTGCTTGAATTAATAGAAGGTTGAGCAAAATTAAAACCCGCAGAAAAGTTTGGGATCAAATTAGTGGTCAACGGTCGCTGGGTTCAAAACAGATTTATTCAAATCTTAAAGTTCATTTATTCAAATCTTAAGGTTCTACAACTGTAACATAAACCTATTCCTTTTTACAGATTTTCAGCTTTGAAATGCCAATCTACTCGCTAAGTATCAGTAGAAAATAGTTATTCCAGATAATTTTGTGTCATTTTTCGGAGAAATCCAAAGATTCACTCCGACGTCCACAATTCCCAACGCCTAAAATTTTAGAGCCCAATTTTCCATTTTTATCATTTAGAGCCCAAATTTCCGCTACAGCCCAATTTTCCGACGCTCATTTTTCGACCCCCAATGTCCCTTTTTTTCTATGTACTTATTTTTTCAAAAATTTTTTATTTTTTAATTTATAGATTTAAAAAATTTATTTAATATGGAAGAAGAATTTATTGTAGAAGAAATTTTAGATGTAAAACAAATAAATAATGAAAAATTTTTTTTGATTAAATGGTTGGGGTATGGGGCTAAGAACAATTCTTGGGAAGCTGAAGAAGATATAGTAAAAAAAAATTTTTAATAAAAAATTTTTAAATTTTTTTAGCATGCACCAGATTTAATCCAAGAATTTTATGAAAAAAGAAATAATTGTATTCTAGAAGAGTTTGTGGAATTGGAAAGTATTCGAAAATCTGGACCTATTATTTTATTGGTTGGAGGGAAAAAGCGTGGACAAATTGCTTATGCCGTTCTATCAGAAAGAGCATTAGAATTATTTAATTCTGAAAAATCTTATAGAAAAAAGGAAGGGGCAAATACAATTATTGATTTAAAAAAATGTTTTAATGTTTCTCAACAGGTTTTTTAAATAAATCAATTTAGAAATTAAAATTTTTAACAGAATTGCCCAAAATCTCATTCAACATGTGTATGTTTAATGACTGCTGATAAAGTTTTTTTATTGGGAGCTGAAAATTTTAATGATACAATTGTAATTAATCAAAGTTAAAAAATTTTTATTTTATTTTCAGGAATGGTACAACATTTTGTTATCAACAGTTATTTCTGCTAGAGCATTGAATTTAGGAAGGCCTGTCTTTGCCAATGAATTTTTTGGTTTTTAATATTTTTAAAGTTTAAACTCAATTTTTTATTTTTAGAATGTGTTTGGGATGTTGTTATCTTTTCTCAACAACCAAAATTAAAACGATCTTCACAAGTGCCAGCAAACCCTGAATTTGTTAATTGTCCAAATATTTGTGCAAAATTACCTGATGAAACGTTTTTGGCTGGAAAGGGAAGACTTTGCTTTTATCCTCATTCAATTATTATCTGGTAATTTAAATTGAAAAAATATTTTTAACAATACTTTTAAGTAAAACAGGAATAGAACCAGCACCAAAAGCAGGAATTCCTCCTTTCCGGACAAACGACTTTGTTGAAATTTCAAGACATTTTATTGCACAATTTGTATGTGTGGAACGTTATTTTCTTTTACGAATTGGGAATAGCTCATCTATGGGATCTTGTGAAGTTTGGGTTCAATGCGAATCTGATGATCATGCTACTGAGATTAACCGTAAATTACAGGAAATAATTCAGCGTGAAAATTTGAAGAAACAACAAGCTTTGCAAACAATTCGTGGCCAACAAGTAAATTTATAATTTCACAAAATAAAATTTTTTATATTTTTTAAGCTCTCATCACTTCCTAATACATCATCTGCTTCTAATCCCTCTACTGCTAATCAATATTGTAAACAACAACAAGCAGAACGGGAAGTTGCTCAAAAACGACTTTTACTTCCTCATTATTACCAAAATTTAAATGAAAGGTTATTTTTAAACATTTTTTAAATTTAAATTTAAAATTCAAAAAAATCTTTTAGTTCTTCTCAATCATTAGTAAGACCAAATTGTTTGTTGGAACCTTCACAAAACAAAAGGCCCTGTTTTGCTCAACTGACAAATAAGCTTTGTGTACGGAGCAAGTCCCTCGGTTTGGAAGAACAACAAGCTTCAAAGTTTATTTTAAAATTCTCTATAATAAATTTAAAAATTTTATTCCAGTTTCTGTTCATTTGCTGGTCGCTTCTGGACCATGGATAAAGCAGACTCAATTCTTTTGTTGGGTGCTGGTTATGGACACTCAATGCACCCCGAGGAAACTGAGGATAGTGGAGGTACTCTTAAAAAGGTTTGTAATAGTTTGGAAGCCTTTTTTCTTTAAAAAGTCCCCCTTTTTCCGTTTCTCTGACCATTTTTAAGCTTTTTTGTTTAATATAAAAAATTCGAAAGAGCTCTTCGAGCTTGTTCAAATGATACAGAGATCGTCTAGATATGATAATTATTATCAAAATTATGAAGCTAAATCCTTGTTGGGAAAACCTCTTGTGACAATGCAAAGGGTAAAATAAATGGTAATAAATTTTGTTCGGTTAAGTCAGACAGCGTTGATCTTAATGTCATTCGACTCAGCTCGATGGTCTCTTTCGAATGATATAAAATTTGCCATAAAATGAAAAAACTAGGAAAAAAGGGGCGACTTCAAAACTATTAAAGGTTCCCTGTGGCAATGAAAACAATACTGCTGGAGGAAGTGATGAAAGTAGTGCTGCACCTTCTTGTTCTTCTACCTCCTTTGGACACCCAACCTCATCACAAACAAAAAATTGCACACCTGAAGATGTTTTATCAACAATTAATGGGAGTACAAATTCAGCTGGAGTTTTGGTATCGAGTTTTTTTTTTATTTTCGGAAAATATTTCTTTTTTTTTTTAAGATTGAAGATCATATTGAACGTCCTGCTACTGCTTGTGATGATATTGTTGGTGGTAAAAAAAAGAAGAAAAAAATTCGAAACAATGTAAGTAGCCTTAATTAAATTGGTATATAAAAAGGGAGATGGTGGTTGTATTTTAGTATAGGTCCACCAAGATCGGAACTTAAAAATTTAGTCATTTTTAATTTTTTAGACATTCTAGTCTTTAGGTGGTGGTCCTTTGGGACCACGCCTTTAGGTGGTGGTCCTTTGGGACCACGCCTTTAGGTGGTGGTCCCAAAGGACCACGCCTTTAGGTGGTGGTCCCAAAGGACCACGCCTTTAGGTGGTGGTCCCAAAGGACCACGCCTTTAGGTGGTGGTCCCAAAGGACCACGCCTTTAGGTGGTGGTCCCAAAGGACCACGCCTTTAGGTGGTGGTCACGCCTCTAATTGGTCCTGTAAGCTAAAATTTTAGTTCCGATCTCGGTGAACCTATACTAAGGTACAGCCATCATCTCACTTTTTAAAATTTCTCAAAATTCCAAATTTTAGCGCCGCTGTGGGCAGGAACGCAAAAGGCGAAAAAATAAAGATAATTAATTTTTTGATTAAAAATTTGTTTTTAAATTTTATTCTGAAAAAAATATTAAATTAAAATTATTTTTATTTCTGTAGATATCGTGCTAATTCTTCGGTTTTCACCCCACCCTCCTTTTTCAGACCATTTTTTCATTTTTCCTTCTCTATCTCCCTTATTTTTCATAAAAACTCTCAATCTCGAAGACTGATTCGATAGTCACGCCCTTAGTATTTAAGTAAAAAAATTTTAAATTTTTATTTCCAAACAATCATTTTCTATTTTTTAATAATTTTTATTTAAAACAATTTTTATTAATTAAAAAATTCAATTTTTTATTTTATTAAAACAATTACTTAATATATTTAGTTGAGATGGTCCCTTTTATTTTTCGGTCCCCACATCTCCATAAATGTTTATTCGCTAGTTTTATCTCCTCCTCCTTCTCCATTTTCTTATAAAAATTCTCCTCTATCCTAAATACCAATTATACACCCCATAAAAAATAAATTAATTATTAATCCGGTAGATATTTAATAAGTTTAACATAAGAGAATTCAAAAACAACATTTTAAATTAAATAAATACAATTAATCAATTAATTAGTAAAGGGAAATGATCTCCTTTAGAAAATAGTCTTTTATTTAAAGAGAAACGATTAATAAGTTTAATTAAGGGCTCTATTAATCCTTTAGAAAACAATTAGGAAACGATCCACTTTAATCCTACAATTAGTCAATTAATTAGTAAAGGGAAACGATCCAATTAATCCCCTAGAAAACAATTAGGAAATGATCTAATTAATCCTTTGATTTATCCCAAAACCGTCCTAAAGGATGCCATTTGTCGGCATCCTTTAAGGACGGTTTTTATTGGGGAAACTATATAGGGGCACTAACTACTCCCGTACCGGAATCCCGGATTTTAATAAAAGAACACGATTAAAGGGACTTCGGGATTAACGGGATTAATCCCGCAGGATCACTGCCGTTCGATCTTATCAAACTCCATCCCGTTACGGGATCCCGGAAATGCGATTTTGCCGATCTCTATTTATGGTACATCAAAGAAGAAGCGCACACAGATCGAATAACCTTCGTTATCTTCTGTAAAAATACATACAAAGCTTACTTCCTTTCTAATGATTCTTTTGATAAGCTTATCCGGTATCATTAAAATCCGATACTATTTAAAGACGACTTCTTTGTTTACACATATTTCATTTATTTGCTTTATCCACATTTTCATCTCGTAATTTATCAATTTTCAGATTTAAGCATTCTGTTATTCTAAAATCTTCAATGGGAGCAAAACATTCAAATATTAAAGAGGATCACACAAAATTTCCTTTCTGGTGTGGTTATTTGCCTGATGCTGATGCTTTGGAACTTTTAAAGAATAAAAATGAATTTATTTTGCGTTGTTTAGAAAATGATTCTTTGAGTTTGACGCTTTATGGCGGTCCTGAAAAGGCTAGTATAAACTTGGGAATAAAGACTTGAGGACATTTCTAAAGTCCAAAGCAGGGCTGGGCTAATTTCGCATTTCGAGTTTCGCACATTCTGAGTTTGACGCTTTATGGTGGTCCTGAAAAGGCTCGTCTAAACTTGGTTATAAAGGCTTGAGGACATTTCGTGTGCCCTTGAGAACATTTCTGGGGTCCAAATGAGGGCTGGGCTAATTTCGAGTTTCGCATATTTCACATTTTTCAGCGCGAAGAGTTTCGCATTTCGTATTTCGCTTTTTATCCACTTATTTTCAAAATCCTTCCTAGACACTAGTTTAACTTACCAACAATTTTCTATCTAAAGTCCATTCAAGCTATTTTCAGATATCAAATTATTTACTTCAAAAGAATAATTCTGGATGGCATCTAGAAGGTCAAAAATCAACTGAACCAACATCTAAAGAATTAGTTGAATTTTATTGGGTAAATTTTACAGTTATTTTTAAAAAAATTCCCTTTAACGTTCAAGTGCACAAAACAGGCAATAATTCTTAAAGGAGACTGTGATCGTTTAGAGTCCCCAATCCTTCGCCCACATTGGTTACTTTCTTCAGCAAAAGTCTGGTTTGGGGATAAGCTTGGTGAAGGCGCCTATGGGGTTGTTTATAAAGGGGAATTGCTGGATGGTGGGACAGTTATTGATGTAGCTATTAAACAATTGGTTGGAAAGGATATGAAAAAAGAGCAGATTGCCAATTTGTGGTCAGAGGCGCGTATTATGACTGCATTGAGGAATGAACATGTTATTAGATTTTATGGAATTGTTAATGATAGCAAGGTGAAAAAATATTCTCCTTGGGGGTTGATGAACGCCAAAAGGCAAAATTCTATAATCGGGTTCCTTTTAGGGTTGGGGGCTGGTCCAAAGATTGAGTCGGGCATCGAATTTTGGCCCGAAACAGACTCGACCGGTCTGGCTCGATAAAAACGAGGCCCTAAAAAGAATCGGTCGGGCCGTCTCGAAAATACCAACCCTCGTTCCTTTTTTAAGAAATGAACTAAAAATTTTATTTCGGTCAATGTAGAGGCACTTTTAAAATATTCAATGGGTGGTTGAAGTGTTTCGGAGCTTCCTGAGCAAAAGTTTGTAAAAAAAGTTTACCATTTTTTCAGCCATTCAGTATCGTATTGGAATACATTAATGGGAAATCTGTGGACATTTATTAATTAATTGGACTGGGCGTTCTAAGACAATAAATAATATGACAGTAAAGGTGTGTCTGAGAGAAAAGAAAAAATTTTCTAAAATTACTCTTTTTAGGTAGCCGATTTTGGGTTAAGTAAGCGTGGTCAAAAACATACTATTGACGTAAACCAACCAACAAATCTTCGCTGGTTGGATCCAGATTCCTTTAGAAGCAAGTCTGTTGACAAATTGACTGATGTTTATGGTGGCTTTTAAAAATTTATTTTTAAAAATTAAAAAGAATTTTCAGCTTTTGGTATAACCCTTTTTGAAGTCTTCAGTCGACCATATGAATTTCCATATGCTAAATGGAGTGGGCAAAAGGTGGGGGGTTTAAGAAGGATGAATCAGGGATGTGCGCCAAAAGGCGCGCCGTAAGCCAAACGCCAATTTTTAAAAATTTAAAACACGCCAAACACAAAACGCCAAAAATCGGCCAAAAATGGATGGACGTCAAATGTCTTGACGCACATCCCTGGTGTGAATCTCTATTAAATTTCTTTTTATCTAGGTCTACGAGCAAGTCATTAATGTTCCCAAGTCTAAAAGGAAGAGATTAAATACTCCCGATGGAATGCCTGTTGCTTTTGTTAGTTTAATGAAAGAATGTATGAAATTTGATGAGGATAGGGATAAACGACCTTCATTTGAACAAATTGAGAAAATTGTTGATAATTTATATAGAAAGATGTAGAAAAGAAATATTTTTTGTTTGGATTTTTCTTGTAGATTTTATGCTTTTTTTGTGTTGTAAATAATGTTTAAAATCAGGGTGACCCTTTTACCCTATTTATAGGGCATTTGCCCTATTTTTGATCTTTTCGCCCTATTTTTTCCCTATTTTTTCATTTGCCATATTTTTGCCCTATTTTTACTATTTTGAAAAATCTTTACAATTCTTAGCATTTCATAACGAAATGGCAGAAAAATGAAGAAATCTGACCGTTAACCTTCCATAATTCTCAAAATTCTCGCCTGCGGCGCTAAAAAAGAACTTTAAGGGAATGTTTAAGGGAATCCTTACAACCTTAAGGGGAATGTTATGTATACTCGCACCGATATAAAAATAAAATTCACGATTTTGGGAATCGGGAATTCACGATTTTTTCCAATTCCCGATTTCGGGAATCGGGGATTTCGTCGGTGCGATCCCTGATATACACTACTGCTATTCTTAATGATATCTCGATATATGATTGCAAAAAATATTACCGTATTTACTCGATTAATTCCCCTCCCTCGAATAATTCCCCTCCCTCGATTAATTCCCCATGCCACGGATGGGTTGAAACAATAATTCCCCTCCCTTGAATAATTCCCCTCCCTCAAAACTAGTATCGGGTTTGAAACAAGCAATCTTATCGTCATCTGAACAGTCGAGTGGAGTCGAGAGTCGTGTACACATGGATCAGAGTATTTAAAAGTATTTAAAAGCTGTGAAAGGTTAAATTAATTTGATTTATAGCATAAGTATCGGAGGATTAGAGGATAGCAGTGAATTTGTACGGATATCAGAAATATTAGTGGATTTGAACGTATATCAGAAAGGGTATCAGAGGATGAAAGAGTCGAGATTTTATTCAAATAGTTTGCTTGTATTAATTTAATACTTTAGAAGTAAACTACTTTGACCCATGTGTAATTTTTGGGGTAAGCAAAAAATAGCCCAAGAAGTATAAAATGTTGTGAGATAATGCGATGGTACAAAAAAATATACATATAAAGTACAACCATGTAAGTTTATATGGCTCCATACTTGGTGATAGTATCGTATGATGACCCTATATATGACCCCTCATGTGGTACTATAATCCTAATACTCCCATATTCTAGTACATAAAGAACTAAGTAAACATATGCAAGTTTATAAGTAGATAAAGAAAATAGAACGTCAAGACTTCATGCAGTTTTTTACTTTCATGAATGGGTTGAATTAATAATTCCCCTCCCTTGAATAATTCCCCTCCCTCGATTAATTCCCCATGCCACGGATGGGTTGAAAAAATAATTCCCCAGGGGAATTAATCGAGTAAATACGGTATACATTTTAGGTTTATTTACCCCTAATTCTGAACCAGATTTGCTTAATTTAGTTCAAACTAATGAAAAATATGTTGAATAAAGATTTTTATTATAATTTTAAATAATTTTTAAGTTTTTAAAACAATGCCCTATTTTTTGCCCTATTTTTGACCATTTTCGCCCTATTTTTGCCATATTTTTGAGTGGCTGCGCCCTATTTTAGTGGTTTGGAAAGGGTCACCCTGTTTAAAATATATATTTTCCCCTATTGTTGAGTTTTTCTGCGAATATATGGGGGGGGGGGTTATTATTAGATTGAATTTTGAATGAGAAAATAATTGAATTTTACAAAAATTCTAATAAAAAAATAATTTCTGTTAGCCAAAAAATTTTCAATTCTTAGAATTTAAATTGTTAAGGTGAGCGTTACAATAAAGCCTTTTTCAAAGCTACTTAGGTAAATTTTTGATCTATTTAGTCCATTTTGCGTCCAATATTTACTTGCAATATTTTTTCGTATCCCCTGAATTTGGATTTTCATTAAATTCAGGATTCTTGTAATTACATAAATACTTTTATTTTAAATAATAAATTAAGAAAAATTGTTAAGAAAATTTATTTAACATTTAAAAATATGTACTACTAAATAATCAAAATAGAAAAGATGCAACACGCATAAGAAATTATGCGAATATATATTTTTAAAAAATAAAGAGGGTTGACGGTTATGGTTATCCGGATTTGAAAAGAATTCGGATACCAGGAAAATTCCATTTTGATCCAGAGATTTCCTAGGATCCGTCAACACTAGTTAAGAAATAACTAAAATAGAGAAAGTATCAAAGAGGTGCGCCAAAAATTTTTTAAAAATTGCCAATCAAAACGCGCGCACTTTTGTTTTTTACTTTTAAATATATTCTTTCCCTCCTTTCATTCTTGTTGAAGTTTTTTTCATTTCTCGAGCCTTTTGTTTCTTTAACAATTCATTCGCTCGTTGTTTATGTGTCTCATCTAACTTCATATAATTATCCCCAGTAGTTGTCAAATATTCAGAAAATTCTGATTTGTTGCTTCGATAAATATGCCAATCCTCTTGTTTTCTCGGGCGCATAGGGTTGAATGGACTCATAAAAGTGCGTTTTAATGCGAAATCTGGACAAGAGCTAAATATACAAGAGCAAAAAAGATATAAAAAAATATACATATAAGATCAAAAATCAAAAAAAAATTAAAAATGCGTAAAAACAAAAATAAATTTCCTTTACTGTAATATTAAATCTAAAGTGATATATATTAATCTCTATTTCTTTTGTAATTATGAAATTTCATACGAATAGTTTATCGATAAATGTAAATATCCCCCAAAAATTAATTACAAACTGTACAGAAAAATGTTAATTTAAAATAGACATACCGTAAATCTTCTAATAGACAGAAGCTATATTGTTCCTTCCAACAGAAAATCACTCCCTATTATAACCACATCCCACGAGAAGATCGAAAAATATTATAAGCACACGTGTTTCTATTAGAAGATTTACGGTAATATAGACATGCGAAAAAGATGGGAGCAAATACTTTTTTAAATTTGAATACTCATAACTTTTTAAGAATTCAACCCGGTAAAGGATGGACTATTAATGAATTTGTCTTATTAATGCTACGGTTACATAAAAAACGCAAGACGCCGGCGGAAGACGCTCGGCGTCAAGACGCCGGCGGAAGACGCTGTTTCGTGGTTACATAAAATCGGCGTCTTCCGCTAAGCGGGAAGACGCAAAGCGTCAAAACGCTGATTTTATGTAACCACGAAACAGCGTCTTCCGCCGGCGTCTTGACGCCGAGCGTCTTCCGCAAAAAACTGCGTTTTTTATGTAACCACTAATTGCGTACTAAATTTGTAACAAATATTTTATTGATATTAAATTGAACAAATAAAATTAAATCATTTTATCCTGCCATGATACCGATCCAACTTCACTGTTAAAATATTCTAATTAAAGGTCGGCGCGGGACGGGATCCCGACGGGATTTTCCGGGATCCCGATACCGAAAACCCGGATTTTTGTGATTTTCGGGATCATTCTGGATCCGGGATTTTTTCGGTATTTATCCCTAGGGATCCTGTCCCGGTATCGGTTAAGAAAAAAAATTCCGACTCGGGATCCCGGACTTTTTTTATAATTTTCGGGTTTTTAATTTTCGGGATTTTCGGAAGACTTTTGCTTAAGGATCTTCCAAATTTCTCAAAATTTTCGCCTGCGGCGCTGAAAAAGGAAGAAATCTAGTTTCTTGGCCTCCGAATTTCTCAAAATTTTCGCTTGCGGCGCTGAAAATGAAGACTAGAGTTCGAACCCGGGCCGGGCCCGGGACCGGGTTTTCCGGGCCCGGTAGCCCGGAAACCGGGTATTTTGATAAAATCCGGTTTTTCCGGGTTTCCGGGTTTTCGAGGTTTTTAGCCCGGAAGCCCGGCCCGGGTCGCATCTGAAAAACCCGGGCCCGGCCCGGGTCCAATTTTGAATAAATTTTATAAAATATTCTGACTTTTTGGTCAATTCTGGCTCATTAAACACTAAAAAATTCAAAAATTTTCGCCTGCGGCGCTGAAAAACGAATTTATTATGTATGCAAAGACTTGTATCTCCTTGTCTTATCCCTTAATCCTTCAAAATCAGGGCTGGGCGTTGAGATATCGAGGATTAAGGCATCCTAATGGTGGTATATTGAGGGACTAGAAGCAATTAAAAAAGGATTTATTGGGATTAACCAAGATTTAAGGGATTTGTAAGGATTAATATAGATTAGGGGTTTTTTGAGATATCGAGGATTGAGACAGGGGATTAATAAGGATATCGACATAGGAATCTAAGTGAATATATTAAGGGAAATTTTTTATTTACATTCGATTAGAAATAAAACCAGTTTCAAATTGCGGATATGCCCCTTATTTGTTAGTCCTGCAAATATTTAAACCCAATTTATCCCGCAAACAAAGTAAATCCCCGATATCCGCCTTAATTCTACAAATCCACAATAACCCCATCAAATCCCAGATTAAGTAGTTATAGAGAGAGATAACGAGGAGTTAGATGTACATCGGGGACTATCTAATCCTGTAAATCCCTATTAATCCCTCCAGATTCTGCCAATCCATCAATATTTCACATTAATATGTCTAAATCCATTGAACAAACACGTTAGATGAAAGATGACACCAAATTTTAATAATTTCTTATATAAAATAAGAAAAATTTTCAGCGAAAAAGCTAAAATTTGATCATTTTTTGAATTTTGAAAAAACCGGGTCCGGGCCCGGGTGTAAAAAAATCCGGTTTTTCCGGGCTTCCGGGTTTTCGAGGTTTTTAGCCCGGAAGCCCGGCCCGGGTCGGATTGGAAGAAAAAAACCCGGATACCGGGCCCGGCAAAGTGAAAAGTTCGAACTCTAATGAAGACTTATGTGTATATCGGAGAATTTGAATGGAGTTAAGTGTATTTTAGTGATATCCGGATATTTCAAGGGATCTAAGGGAATACCGAGGAATTTGGCCTTCTCAATCAACTTAAAATCGGGGTATAGTAATTGAAAAAATATTTTCGACCCCTTATTGTTATTTTTAAATTTTTGTTTTGGGCTCATTTGAAAGCCCATAAAATTTACTACAAAATACTGTTGGTCTCCTGTTTGGAAAATTTACACTACGAGGTTGGGT